GATTAGTCACGCTCTCTCCTGGTATAACTTTGCAATCCTTACAAGTTATACGATCCCCTTTCCTCATTAGAAGAAAATCTATTTGTGTTTTTGACGACCCACTCTTGTAAGTGATCACATGTTCTTCTCTCTTCTTAAAGAAGGTGTTGGCTAAGAAGAGATCAAATGCCATTGCAAAATCCAAGATAGCTTCCCCATCCTCGTTTCTCTCCCCAAAACCATGGCCACCATGAAAACCTCCATAGTTGCCTGTCTCCCTGCCCACGTGTCCATTTAAATCTCCTCCTATAAATAACTTCTCCGTTTGAGCAATTCCTTGCACCAAGTCTCCAAGATCTTCCCAAAATTTCTCCTTCGACCTCGTATCCAACCCTACTTGAGGTGCGTACGCACTAATCACATTGATAAGTTCTTGTCCTATTACAATCTTGATTGCCATGATTCTATCTCCTACCCTCTTGACATCTACAACATCTTGTACCAAGGTCTTGTCCACGATGATGCCAACACCGTTTCTCGTTCTATGTGTGCCCGAATACCAAAGTTTAAACCCTGAGTTTTCTAGATCATTTGCCTTACTACCAACCCACTTAGTTTCTTGTAGGCACATAAATATTTATCCTTCTCCTCACCATAACTTCCACTACTTCCATAGATTTTCCCGTTAAGGTTCCTATATTCCACGTTCCTAAACGCATTTGCTCTCTTGAACTCTACCCTTCTGTCCTCACCCTCCCCCGTCTAATAGGATCAAAGTACTTCTTTTGTGTGTCCCGGGTAAAGTTGATAGGAGCATATGCTCCCAAACAACTTTGAGTGGAGTCGTTCGAAAAGAAGTTTCTATGGCCCCCTTGCTCATTTAACACTGCATCCGGGTGCCGATGGAGATACAGCGACCCTTGCTCACTTATCACTGTGCTCGGGCCGCACAGCGCGCCACTTACGGGTGACGCCCTAGCTTTAGCGCTATTTTGTTCTGGATTCATTTTCATAAGGATTCGACGTGATCATGGAGTGCCGGCTGTCGACTACCTGACGCCCTCCCCCTCCTCCTTTATCCGGGCTTGGGACCGGCCATGTAAGACATAGGCGGAGTTGACTGAAAGAAACTGTATCTGAATTAATTTGGACTCAAGTATCATACAAATGCAAATTGAAAAGTGATCGTGTCCGTCTAATAACTGATAATACTGACCAACAGTTGCATAAACATCATCGTTGAATTTGGAGTAAAACTCAGCATTCCAAATTTCAGCAGCATGAGCGAAGAACAGTTTTAGCCTTCTTTGGGAACTCTTCAGGTGCCTCTACATGGTTTTCCTGCCAACAATGGGAGGGAAAATGATCACATTATTGTGTCTGGACTAGCTCCAGATAATTTCTTCTCAATGCCGAGAGTCCAAAACCGCCATTCTGTTTGGGAGCAATGGGATGAACTGCATGTGCCCTCCTTATGGTACTAAAAGACTTAACATTGCACCTAAATGTGAGGAAGTATAGGTAACACTTTCAGTGTCCTCTATGAAGACTGATGTATCTACACGTTGCAGATAATAATGATCAATGTAGTCCACACCAAGGCGTTCCAGGCTACCTTCAATAAACACGACTGGACATATTCAGGAGTGCCATTTACTACAGCGTCATCAGTGTCAAACCTTACGAGACCAAATTTTGTAGCCAGCTGAACCTTGTCTCGAGGCAAATGCTGCAATGCCCGAAACACAAGCCATGTACGCCACAACTGACCAACAATGTACGCATATGTACTTACAATGCAAGTTAGCAATTGTGAGAAGACTAAAAGAAGCTATATTTAAGCAAAACAGAACAAAGCGAACACAAACCAACCACTAAGCTGGACAGTACGGCATTTTATCAAACATTTTACATGCATACAACTGACTGGTCACAACCCAATCCAAATTACATATAGAGATTAAGTTAATACCTGAGCTCCGACCCAACCCGGCTTTCCAACTTCCAGTTCCGTAGTCATTGTTGTGGCGGGACCTATGGCACAGTGCCGGTTGCTAGAGAAATTGGCGCGGCGAGGAGCGCAGTGAAAAAGAAAGTTGGAGTTTGAGTTTGGTAAATACCAAAACTTGAAATTTCTTAATAATAAACCACATCAACTAGCCCAGTGGTAAGAGTGCGGACTACGACTCCCAATAAACAAAAAATGGAAGGTTCGGTTCAATGCTCCAAGCTAGTGAATCGGCTTGACTGTGGCCACACAGAGTGAAACTCCCCATAGCCTCTCTGGCCCATAAAAGGTGAATAATTGTGGTTTGCCGTCAGTTGTCTCTCTTTATGGAAAAAAAAATATATATATATAAGCAAATTATATAAAAGAGAAAATAGAACGACCGTATACAATTTTTTGAAATTAAAAGAACTAACGAAAAATATAGGGTAATTTGAATTAAAATAAGTTAAATTAAAATGACTTAACGGCTATAAAACTTGACATAAATGAAGAGAATCCTACTAAAATTGGGTTTCTCTCTCTATTTCCTAATACAATCAGGACGACTTAAAAGTTAGGGTTTCTAATTTCTTACTTACCCTCCAAGCAACTACACTGCCACTCCCCTCTCTATCTCTCTCTAAATATACCACTCACTCTTTGCTCTCTCTCTCTCTCTCTCTCTCTCTCTCTAAAATTCTAAATTCAAATTCAGTAAATCCTAATAGGTTCAGGAGATTGCATTCTATAAATACCCAAACAACGCCCTCTCTAATCGTCACATAAAAATCCACAGCAACCACAGCACAAACCTACTTCACTACTCGATTCCTCTCTTCTTCTTCTGCGTTGTGGTGTTAATGGAGAACCATTCCCTTTTCTGGCCCGGTTTCCGCTTCAAACCCACCGATCAAGAACTCGTCGGTGGCTTTCTCCACTACTTTTTGGTGAAGACACCGCGGCTACTGCCCCCGCCGCCGCACAGCACCTTCATGCACAAGTGCAACCTCTTCGGCAACAAATTCCAACCCTCTCAGATTTGGGAAGCTTTTGGGGGAGAAGCGGCACTTCAACTTGGCGCTACTGATCAACCGGCCTTGTACTTCTTCTCTGAGCTCAAGAAGATAACCCCCAAGGGTTCCAAACTTGATCGAAAGATGGGGCTCGGAGGTACTTGGGAAGGCAAGTCGGTGCCCGCTTGGGTCGAAGGGACTGAGGGCAATTCTTCCTGTATCGGACTAAAGAGAACCTTCTGGTACAAGAATGAAGGCACCGAGGACCACGGCGGGTGGAAACTAGACGAATACAGTCTCTTTGCATCTCCGAGGAAGCGCAACAGCCATACAAGTTACGACTTCGATTTTGTGCTTTGTCGGTTGAGGAACACGTCTGGCATTAACAAGAGGAAGTGTTCGACTTCATCTTCACAGGATGAGGAAGTGCCGAAGATGAAGAAGAAGCGGGCTAACGAAGAGATCGAACAAAACATGCATGCGATCAATGTTGTTGACGAGGAAGGACGACAAGGCAATTCTTGTCTAACTAGTAATTTTGTGATTTCTGATCAAGAGAACAATGAGTTTGCGGTCGGTGATTATGTTGATTATGGTTATGATGATAATGATCCGAGATTCACCATCACTGCTGACGAATTAGACGACGTATTGGCTAAAGAGCCGACCAATGGAGGAGCAGTAGAAGCGCGTTTTCCAACAGCTTCTGCCTCAGAGGAATTGTTATTGGGTAAAGAAAGGAAAGATGTGCAACTGCCGGTTTCATCCGTCGTTGCCGATGGAGGAGAAGATCAAGCTCTGTATACTAATATGTCAGGGGAGTTTATTCCTGAAACCCGAGAACTGCCTTTGCCAGCATCATCTGGGACTGCTGAAGATGGAACCGTAGAAGAGAAAGCTTGGGATCCAAGTTTATTAGAGCAATATTGGCTTTCTGAAGCCCAAGAAGCAGAACCTTTGAATCCAAGTCTCTACCGGGATTTTATGTTTGCTGATGGAGGAGGAGTAGAGGAAGCTTATCATCCAAGTGCCTTCGACAATGTGGTTGACCAATCATTGTTCGGAAGCAGCTACTTGAATAGTTATTTGTTTACGGAAGATCAGTTCATGCCACATCTTTTGATGTAATTAATTTCACTACCTGCAGAACTTGGTACTGAATGAAGATTTGTAACACGATTTTCACCGGCTTTAATTTCTCCTCTTATTAATTTTTGTGTTCTTCAATTGCCTATAGTGTTTTGTTACGGATGATCATGTAAAATTATCAATGAACTGTTTCCGTTTTTCCAGTAATTTTACTTCTGATGATTTGTAAATTTGATGACCGAATAATGGAGAACTGCTTTCTTAAATTCAACTTGATTTCCTTTTCAATTTGTTCAAAATGTATAATTTCTTGTCTGCAGCTAGTTATAATTTAAATCTGACTTCATTAGGCGTGAGCACAAAGCTTAATTACAGCAAGAAGTTCAAGAATGAGCAGGTTTTGGAGAAAGTAAAACTAACTCAAAGATAGGACAGCTGAAACCAGTTTGCAGTAGTTGCAGGTTTTGAACAAAGATTGCTCACACCAGTATGCTTACAATACAACTTACAATATGCCATCAGGCACCAAGCTATAACAACATCAAAGATTCTATGATTGGATGAAATTTAGATCTTCTTTCTCATCCTTCACAGTGTTCCGCATCTTGTAGGTGCAGTTCTCGAGCGAACGAGTTCTTGTCATCCAACTTGGTCTTAACCTCCTCACCTTCAGAGCTAGTTGCAAAACATGAATAGCACATTTCAAATCGACTCAATTAATTGCACTGCAGAAACAAAGCATAAACTTTTACAACACAAAGCTTGATTAACTCGAAACATTTAAGCATAAGCAGGCTTTTGAGGAAGAAAGAAAACCTTCCTTGATATGCAAGTTAGTCCAAACCAGTTTGTAAAGATAAAATGTAAAAAACAGGGGAGTAAATGCAATCTTCATCAAGCCATCAAAGCAAAGCAGTAAAAGTAGCAAGTCGGTAAAAAGAAGATTTTTATTCCAGTAAGAACTGTAAGAACAGAAGTATTACAATAATATGCCATCAGGCAAAGATGACAATAATTTCTCTAAATTATTCAACCAAACCACAAGATCAACAATCACTACAACTGGATGAAATTTGGAGACATAGTCAAGTCAATAATCTGAGGATAAGCACTAGTAACTCTGCTCTTTTTCCCGCATAAACCGCCTCTGCATTGGGGAGCTGGAGTTGTCAAATCTATTATCTCGCCTCCACAAGGCCTGAGATAGCTTTTGCCCGGTGACTGATCATCGTCTGTAACTGTAGTTGTCAATTGTTCCCTTACAGGATGCCTCAATTCAACGCTACAGTCATCAGAAGATGTGGTACTGGCAGCCACATTCGAAGATGGAATTCTCACCGGTGATGTTATAAAACCAAACTGCTCTGTGAAATCTTCTCTTACTTCTTGACTGTCTCCATATACGTCGTTAATTGTCTTTCCTGGATCATCCTGCTGATCGTCTTCTGAATTATGAACTATAAAATCTGATAATGTTTCTTCCTGTAGTGTGCTATCATTCAAGAATTCATCGCATTCTTTTTCATTGTAGCACTCATAATTTCCAACTTTATTGCCGATATCATTTTGCTGATCGCCTGGTGAATTATGAACCATGATGTCTGATAATGTGTCTTCCTGTGGTGAACTACTGGTACACATATCTTCGTCACATTCCCTTTCATTGCACCAATCATCTTCATTTTCGAAAATGTCATCAGATAGTTTGGTTGAGGAAGGAAGATCATCCATGGAACAAACTTTGACCTTCATCTGCTCCGGCAGGTGTGGACAGCCAGTAGAATGCTTGATGTACTGGCTTGAAAAGAAGTTCACAGTGAGGTTCAAGCTGGTGATCCAAACAAATAAAATTTCACATCCCATTAGTATGAGCAAAAAAGCATATGTGTATTAATTCACTCACAATTCATTTGAAAACTAATAAAACGATACCTGTGCCAAGGCGGAAGAGTGAGCATTGTGTATGCAAGCTTGATCTTGCTGACAAGTCCTCCAAGGGTTTTAAAGCTTGCAGCAGCCTGCCTAACTGCCTTTGATACAGTTGGATTCTGCCAGGCCCATTCAAACTGCAATTCCCAAATCAAGTCAATATAAATCGGAAATCCTCAAACAAAAATAATCCCAACCAGGTATTAACTATTAACACATAACTGATTTCAAAATTAGTTCCAACCCAATGTGGGTTCCAATCAAACTGGAGATATCCTTAAATGAAACATATTAACAACATAACTCTCAAGAAATTGGAGTTTGAAAGTTCCCAAATTCCGATTAATAAATCTTCATTTAAATTTGAATCCAATAAATCCGTAAAAAAAAAAAAGGACTAAATGGATGCCAGAATTAGTACAAACTCAAGGTGTCCCAATCAAACTGCAAACATCCCCAATTGGCACATAATTAGGATATAATTCTCAAGAAATTAGCATCTAAGTTGATCCCAGTCAAACATAATTGATATATTAACTAGATTTGGAGGGAAATAAAAATGTAGAGACCTGGAGAGCAGAAACGTTTGTTGGGAAACCATAGATGCACAAAACCATCTCCCAAGGCCGCTTTCGCTTCGTTCTCCAAGCTCCTTGCGATATTTCTCCGTTGTGCTGCCTTATTCGCCGCCGCGGATTCACAGTGAATCTGTATTCAGCATCACCCGGATAAACAAACAGTCAAATTGGAGTCACTTGTTAATCCAATTTATAAAAGAAAGCAGAAGAAAGTCTCAAAATTTAAAATAAATTCAAACGAGAAAGTCCCAAATAAACAAACAATCAAACAGTGAAATTGGGCTGAATTATTAGTCGGAGTTCTGAACCGAAGTTTCAAAATTTAAAGAAATCAGATGGAAAATGATAAAATCAAGAACGGTCTGATTATTCCGAACCGATTGGAGATTAAAAATTGATAAAAATAATTAAGGAAATTGGGGGAAATTGGCAAAATTACCCAATATAAGTGTGGCCTTTGTAGCGAGGGCTGCGAGAGCTCAACAGATAGCAAGCAAAGAATCGACCTTCTCCTTCTTCTTCTACTGCTGCCATCGCCGTTAGGGTTTCTGGGATTTCTGATCCTGCCTTTTTCTTCTGCCTCATCTTTCATACGCTCTCTCTCACAAGCAGACAGCGTTACACAGAGAGGTACATTGAAATGGGAATGAATACGATTCGACCGTTGGAATATTTTACCCTTTTGACTGTTTGAAAACCTCGCCATTCGACGGTCGCGATCTGTCGGTGGTGCTGAAAGAGAAACCAAGTTTTTACCACGTGGCTTGCTGTTCCTTTATTCGCAAAAAGAATAAGCTGATTAGTGCCACTTAAAATACTTTTTGTTTTTATATCTCTATCCATATTTGTTTAGCAAAAATTTTAGGATGAAGTGCCGATAATATCGCGAGATGAACTTGTAGTACGTTGGAAATAAGAAATTAATGAGCAAAGAAGAGATCGATGCACTTAACCTTTATGCGTCGGCAAACCGTGATGGCTGAAATAGATGAGTTGGGCTCAGGTCTGATGTTTGTGTTTCGGTTTGAGGTTTGAAATAGATGTGAGAGAGGGTGGAGATAAATGAGACTTATTTCGGTTTCTAGAGAGAGAAAGAGAGAGAGGGGAGCTCTGGGCTCGAGGTCATAAAGCTGAAGTGAGAGTGGGGGTAGCTGCTAGGGTTTTTCAAAGCTATTACACTAGCTTATATTATAGCTGTTGCAATGAATTGACGCAGGTGTGGCCTTCTACATGTTGGTCAATGCGTCTTTATTAGTTTCCACGTCACGAGTTTGATGCTCCATGGCGGCTGTTTTGTGTTTCTTTTTCATTCTTTATCTCGATTATATTTTTCTCACGTGTCATCCTACAATACTCCTCATTATGGTTATATGGCATATATGTATTTTTAAAATTTGGACTTGTTAGATACTTTTTTTGCATTTTATCATTATTTTATTATCTTATCCATGGATTTTATACAAGTATAATTTTTTGTAAGTATCAATATGCACTTATTTATAAGATATATAAGAAATTTACCTAAATCCACCTAGGCGCTAGGCGCCAGCCCGCCGCCCGACTAGCGTCTAGCATTTTTTAGAACCTTGGCATAGAGGGATTCGCACCCCTCCCTTTGTCAACCACGCACCCCTGGGTCTTATCCAACTCGTTATAGATGTGTTAAGATGTCTGCAAGGCTTGCAAGCTAATATTTATTATCTATGATAAATTTCTATATTTGAAAAAAACCAAGGGCATTCGAAGCCCTCCCATTTTACTCCTTCAACACCTTGACCACCATATCACTTATGTTTTTGTGAAATTGTGCTAAAATATTTATATATATGGTTTTGTTTTGAATTCTTTTTGCAAGAAACAAATTTGCACATGACAATGAATCTTTGATAATTTCTTTTCAAGTATTTACTTTTGAACTACTTTTCACAATACATTTACTCTACACATAGAGATGATGAAGTTAGTGAAAATTTTGAACCTCATAGGAATTCTATGTGGTAATAAGAGCAAGTCCACCCTAAGGACTTTGTGCCGGCACCCAGCGCATTTATCCACTCAAGTGAACAGTAATAGACCCAAGTAAACAGTAATAGGCCAAAGCATCTCCACCCCTAACAAAAAATAGCCTAGTCCATTTTATTAAAATATTATTATTATTTATTATAAAATAATAATTTTATTTTTAATTTCTGAATTTATAAAAAATAAAATAATATTATTATTATTATTATCAAAATTTATTAAAAAATTTCTGTATTTTTTAAAAGTGAAATTCTTAATTTTTTGGGGGAAAAAACATGGACCGTTGATCTATGATCGAAAGGTCCAGTTTAAAAGTAAAATTTAATTTTTTTTACCGTTGGAAATCCAACGGTCTAGAATAACTAGCTGTTGGAAATCCAACGGCTATGAGCATGCCACGTCACTAATGGGGCTCCGGAGCACAAGTGGGCTGACAACCCTCTGCAATCTTGTCGCCTACTCGCAGCCACACGTGATTGTCGCGCACGCGCCAGCCAAATAGGCCGGCTTCTTGCTCAATCAAATTTGGGCTGACCTGGTGACCAGCTTGGGCTGCGTCCTAAGCAAAAGGGTCGGCTGGAGTGGATTGACAGGCTCCCAGCCTAATTTTTGTACTTTGTGCTGGGCAAATTCCACTCCGGTGGACTTGCTCTAAGTCACTCATGTATCTTACCATGCAATGTATAAAGTGTAAAATATTGTACCAATTCATTATATATAAATGATTATGGTGTGTTTAAACTTCTTTCATTAATTACTACATATTTTCTACACTCACAATGTTTGCCAGCTCGCTATATAATCAACTTAAATCAGTTAAATCCATTATGCAATATATTTTTTTCCAATTTTTTGTAATAAACTAATAGATAATTGACTAAATAAACATCCTGCAAAATTTCAATAAATTTTTTTAAGTTTTTCTTACAATTTTAGTGGTTTTTATTCAATTTTTATCGATATCGATAATATCTTGATATTTCCATCGAAATTTGCATATTTTTAAACTACGATATTTCCGACATCATCGATATTTTAGACTTTGCTAACGAACCAACAAGCGTTTCAAAACGGCCAAATGTTTTGGCGTAAATTTTGTGGTTCCTGAAAGTTACAGGCTCTAATAGTCTTAGTGTTTGGATATATGGCAGAAATGGGTTTCAGAAGCTGGAGAAGATTCAGGACTCGAATAGGCAGAGTCGGCAGCTGGAAGAGCTCACTGACAAGATGCGAGACTGTAAGAGGTATTAATTTTTCTTTTTCTTTTTCTACAGTTTTATCCTCTTTATTTATCGTCCACAAGTGTGGGTTAATTTTCAATTCAATTTTCTTCATAAGTTGGTGAATGTCTGTGCTGCCAGTTATTGAATGGTAAATTGGGTTCTTGACTGTGATTGGAGGTAATGCAATTGAATTAGCTTAAATATCAAGAAATGGGTAGTTGGCCAAGAAATAGATGAGTTTCAGTACACTACGCTCCATTAGATCTTGATGTAGGAATTATACTTGGCTTTTTTCACGTTTAAGGGTTCGATTTGACTTGAATTTATTGAAGTTAGAATCAATGATTTTCCTCAAATTATATTCATAAGCTAAATGATGATAAAGAAAGGAGCTTTTTAGAGGATCTTTTTTATTTTATTTTTGGTTTGTGATTGAATTTATTTACTGAGAAGAATAGAAAGATGCTCAATACTCAGAGAGGTTTACCTGAATGTTTTTTCTTGAGGTATATAGAAGTATACATGGATGGGTCCTCCTAATTAACAATTTTATTTCTTAATACCCTAAACTTTGATGGCACTATTTTGCCTTAAAATAGGGGGTGGATATTGTTTGGGTCCTTTGGGAGGCTGTTTAAGCTGCGTAATTCCGGCAACTTTCATGTCACTATTTTGTGAGCACAAGGCATTTGGGGGACGGAAGAAGAGTGTGTAGGCCTACGGAGGTGTTGAGTGATGGATGTGTTTTGGGTGGTGTAGCCAGTAATAAATTAGACGATGCGATAGCATTAGGGAGATGCGGAGGTTTTGTGGGATGACTGCTAATTTTAATCGTTACTGAGAGCTTCAGTTCCTTCAGAATTTTGCGAAATTCCTGTTTCTTCCTTTTCAGATTGGGGGGATGCCATTATTTTGGAGGGCAGGAGGAAAGTTTTGTTTGTTCCATTTTAAATGTCTTTTTATGATTGTTTATCCATTTCTGGTAATAAAATTTGTATCGACAAAAAAATAATATACTTGGGAGTGGAATATTTATACAATTTGTGACTAATGCTGAAAATGTGATATAGTGCAACTAAGCTGACATTTAGTTGCATCCTGCTCCATTATATGTAAGGGATGGAAATATCTTGTCTAATGTCATGTTTGGGATTGGTGACTACTGACCAAGTGACCAGCAATGAACATTATTTGCTTCTTATGCCCAGATATGCATATTAATTCAGTACTCGTTCCTTTTATGTAGACCTCTGGATTTTCTTGGTCACCTTTTTACTTTTCTACCCAATAGTATCCGTTACCTAAACCCCTAAATTCCATATACTAATGTATTATTTGTGTTGACATGTCATTTGAAAAACAAATGCTATAATCTTATGGATCTGTGCTTAGTTTATTTGTTTTGGCCAGCATATGGGATTTCCTGCCTTCAAATTTTCTGGCCTTCATTTGTAAGAGTTGCGGTTATCCAATTCAACTTCCTTCTGATGTTTGAATTCCAACCTGTGACACTCATCAATTTGGGTGTCCTGTGAATAAGGTTATATGTTGTGTTGTTTTCAGGCTTATCAAAGAATTTGATAGAGAAGTCAAGAATATGGAGAGAATAAATGACCCAAATACCAGTAGAATGCTGAATGAGAAAAAGCAGTCAATGGTGTGTTTTAATTCCTTATTTCATTTCCAGACTCTGCTATGCTTACTTTTTTTTTTCCTTTTCTAATTTCCTTTGTTTTAATTATCTTCTTGTGTATATTAATTGTTTTTAACATGTTATACTTGTGTTAATAGATTGAACTGTTGTGCAGATCAAAGAGTTGAATTCATATGTGGCTCTGAAAAAACAGTAAGTTAGCATGAGCAAGAAATTACCTTCATTGATTCTTAGCAGAAATACCCAATTCATTTGCCTTTTTGGGTATTTCTTAAGTGTACATTATATTAGTTATTTTTGTGTGGATGAACGGTATTGTATCCATCTGACTTTGACATCTATTACCCCAGGCTTATATATATGATATTTCGTTGATATATAGGTTCATTACATATCAATTTGGAGAGTGAAATACCTGTGTTAGAAAACACCTTTTTTTCTGAGTCTTAATTATTATTTCACATATGATTATCCAACGTTCCCATATTTACCAAATATTTAACGTGGATGTTTTTTAGACTGATGTAGTGATGAACATGTCTCCGTCCTATCACCCCCCCCCCCAACACACACACAGACACAGAGTTACAGTTACACTTTAACCAGAGATGCAAGTGTGCACTGGGTAACTTGTTATGGAAGGCAGTAGTCGCGCAATCTTTTCTCTAAGTTTTAATAGTACAAGAAGCCTGATTTTACAATACAGGAAGATAATTTATTTTCATTATTCTTGAAAAAAGCTTTGTTGTTGTTGTTGTTATTCTTGAAATTGGCCCATTGGATGCTCAAAGTACTGGTTTATGCTTGGGTCAAAGTTGTTTTTTTTTTTTAATTGATGATATATCTTTTTTCTAATAATAATTTTATAGAAACATTTGGTGTGCCTTTGGTACAGATATGCATCAAACCTTGAAAACAAGAAAATTGATCTCTTTGATATGCCGGCAGAGGACTTTGGGGAACAAAATGTCTTGCTAGCCTCGGGTAAGCAAATATCTACGTTTTTGTTAACATGCAATCTGGCCTTGTATACTTTTGCACTAATGGGCTACAATTCACTATCAACATATTACCCATCCGCTGATATTCTATGGTTTTACATATAGCGCTCACACACATGCTCGTGCACATGCACACATACCCGCACTCACTCATACTGACAGACTTGCACTCGTACAAATATATAGTGGATGCCATAACATCCTGCATGGTTGATGTGGGGAGAAGAAAATAGACACTTGAGAGGCACCGATTGAAATGCAATGTTTACTTACATAACATCCTGCATGATTGACCGCACGATATACTATAAACAACTAAAATATAAGGATCCTAGGATCCTCACAAAGAAAATCCGGAGAAAATCCTCATCCTCTAATCTTAATGCTAATGCAAATTCAAATCTTTTGCACCCAAAGCTCTTTGTGACTTTTTTGTGGTCTATGTCGGGATTTGGCACTTGTCAACTGCTAACTCTACACTTAAACGCTCTTTTAACTCACTTAAAACCACACAAGGAAAAGAAAAAATAAAACCAACCCATGGGACACTGTCAAGCACGGGCAGTGGTCATGTCAATAATTTCATGTTTGACATATTTCCCTACGTTTGGTTTTGAAGAAATGCATATACACCAACCAACCTACATTTTGACATCTTCCCATCATCAACCCAAAAAATAAGTAAAGAAACCCATGTCCATATTCCATATGCAAAATATTGCATTAAGGGAGTGAATCCACACTTTTTGTGAGCATGGAGGGTCAGATAAGAATGTAAGGGCCTGTTTGGTGGGCCAGTTGGAATATATGTTGTGACCAATTAAAATGGATTTGAGTTTACTCTGTTGTTTGTTGTGTCAAACTGTAAGATGAACTAGATTATACATGATGAGATATGAATCTATAATAGAGTGGGCTATCTAACTTATAATATTGCATAGGTTACAAGTCTTGTTTTACAAAGCCTAACCTATAATTGATGCCCATTCCTGTCTAGCCCACCAAAAGAGCCCAAGAGTATAAAAAGAAAGTCCTTTTGTGATTCCCTAATATAAGTGGGATATATATATTGTATTTTTCATGTAAGTTTATGAATATATAGATAAATTTGTGAAATTTTATCATGTCAGTTGCATTGTGAGGATATGTTCATGACACTTTGTAATTGCATGCCTAATTAACCCTAATTAGCCCAATAAAAAAGGTCTTTTGCAAGATATCATTCGAGTTGCATTGCGAGGATAAGTTCATGACAAGAAAATGGCATTGTAATTGCATGACTTTCAAGTTTAAAAGGGTCTGTTCGGTCCCAACTCAATCTCCACCCCTCCAAAACCAAATTGAATTCCATGGCTGTCTATCGATACCGAACGTTTTTCCCCTCTTCACTGAAGGCACTCCGAGATGTAATCAAAACAAAAAATGATTTCATTCCCCTGGAGAGAGAGGTGAGAAGCCTCGAAAATAATAACCAAAATGTTGACTATGAAAAGCTCGAAGACTTCCACGCGAAGGAGGCAGCTTTTCTAAGAGACTTAGAGGAGCTTCAGAGCCACAGGAGGGTTGTTGTTGAAGATCTCCAAGATGCAGAGGCCCTCTGCGACCTTGCCTCTTCTGAGAAGCATGGTTGGAAAGTGGAGATTTTAATAAATGATGACAATTCTGGTAACTTCAAAAGGGAAGTACATGATGCGGGCCAGAGGGTGGGGATAGAGGTCACTCCAGAAAAGAACAAAGTGCTCAAGCAGCATTAGGTCACTCCAGAGAAGAGAAGGAAGAATTGCTGAAGGAAAGGAAGAAGTCCTGAAGCAAGGAGCATTAAGTAAGAGTGCTATTTTAAATATTTTAATTTAGGCGAACGTGGAGCACGTAAAAACGTTTATGTTATTTGCTTTCATATATATATGAATTAATATAAAATAGAGTGGTTTAATGAATGGGTTTCGCAAAACATTGTTCAAACTAAAAGTAGTTTAACAAGCGTGGAACCATGGCAGCATGAGCTGCGTGACAATTCTAAACCAAAGAAATTAGGAATGGCACACTGCTCAGCTCCAATAAATTGAACAAACAATCTTAATTACGTATTGAGCTAAAGATATTTATCAACTAGGGTGAGGTGAGGGATCAAAAATTATCACACTCTTTTAACATTATTTATAAATTAAATGGTTTTGTAAAACGAAACAGAAAATTACTAACAAAAAAATAAGAAAACTATTCTTCTGAACCAAACAATCATTTACTTTTTCTAAAATAAAAAATTCTTATTTAGAAGGATCAATAAGGCTTTGTTGTTGTAGTTTTTGTTAAAAAGTGAAAGACGGTTGCAGTCCTAATTCTATTAAAACTGTGATTTTTATAAATCCTAATAGATTATTAATCGTATTACTTGGAAAACAAGGATAAATAATCATGAGAATTATATGACACGCACAACTCCCGGACCAATGTATATCCTCATATCTTCTTCTCCAACAAATAAAGATCCTCAATTCCTACTCCAACCGCCACCCAACAGAGACGGACATAATTTGAATTTGAGATTTAGAGATGAAGAATCTGGCCAGAGTTCTGAAATTAGCAACACCTGGCAGCATTGTTTCTTTTCCTGCACTGACAAGGGTGGTTGGTGTCGCTCCTCCTCCGCAATTCCACCTCGCAACAAGATTCATAGCGTCCAAGGTGGCCGACGCCCCCGCTAAGCCTCAGATTATGGCTTCCTCCTACTCCTCCTCCTCCTCCTCCTACAGCGACCCATGCCTCGATATCTTTTTCAAGGTGCGACCACCACCAGCATCTGCCGCCCGTACTTCCCACACTGACACTGCCCTCATCAACTCTCTCGAGCAACGGTTCCCACTCGCCTGGTCCCACAACCCCCTCACCACCCTCAAGCTTATCTCCAACCTCTCCACAAATCACGTCTATCCGGAAGCCTCGTCCGCGGCCACGTCTTGGCTCCACCGCAACCACCCCAGAACTCTGGCGCATAACCTTGACTCTTTCGGGGGATTGTACGCCATTGTCGAGATTCTCTACAGCCTTCTCCTTCCGCAGGACCAGCAGGAGACGGAGGTGGATGAGATGGAGGAGAAACACCGCCAGAGATACGACCGCGATCCGCATTACAAGTCCTTGCACGACCGCGCTATGGATATTTTTGTGGAGCGGCTCAAGTCCGATGTTCAAAAGATGCAGCAGAACAAGCTGGAACTCAAGCCTTCTGATTATTTAACTGATGACGACGATCATGACGAGGATGATTCTCGGGAACATGATTCTGTTATACGTCCTATTGATGCTGATGCTTTCGCTGATCTCTACGTCTCCGAGGCCGCAGACTGTTTCCTCACCACATTCCCCTCCGACGCCCATGCCATCCGCGCCATTGCGCTTCGCGAAAGCACTGCCAGGCGGCTCTTCCCTTTGGTGTCACAATCGCAACAACCAGATCAATCATCAAAGGAGGATGAACAGTGGGAGCGGCTGAGGAAGGAGTTCTTGGCGCCCTTGCAGAAGTACTACAAGCGTCAGGGCAGGTTCAACCCGAGACGGTGGGGTGTGGATATTAAATATTTGGAGCAGGTGAAAGCCTCAGCATCAACAGCAAGCAAAGGCAATTTAAGCTGCGTCATAGAGCCCGATGCTTTGCTTCCACATTTTATCATACGATATTTGAAAGATGCGAATGTTGGGGAGGCGGCTGAGCTTCAGTGGAATGCATTGCTGCGCAAGCACAAGGAGGGTGGCAAATTCAGAAACTGCTTCGCTGTATGTAACATGAACAGAATTACGGGCGGGGCTAGGGAATTGACGGCGAGTTTGGGACTTTTTGTGAGTGAACTGAATGAAGAGCCGGCCTGGAAAGGAAAGCTGATCAGTTCCGCTCCTCTTCCGGCTGCTGCCGGGGATGACCACGCTCTGTTATTTCGTCTTCCTCATCTGTATTCAGTACCCTGCAGCGATGGCCTAAGGTCCAAATTATCTTTTTTGATGGGAATGGACGGCCGCCTGGTAGTTCATTTGCAAAAGGTGTTTGATTTGATTCTCCAAGTGAGTGTCAATGAGAATTTGAAGCCAGATCAGATGATCCAGAAGCTCTTTATCTTCAACTACAACATGGGCTCTGATTTTTTTGATGGCGCGGCCTGGGAGACTCAGTACGAGGCCATAAGGACCATGTTTAAGGACAAAGGGTATGGGGATGATGCGGTGCCTCACATTCTGTTTTGGGATATTTGGTGCTGGGAATTGCCTTCAATCGCTTTGCCTCGTCCAGGGGTGACGCTATTGCGTGGCTGGTCTAATAATTTGGTCAGGTCCTTCTTGGAGAATGGTGGGGAGATTGGCCCGCACCATGTCATGGAAGCAGCCTTCTCGGACAAACATTTTCAAGCTCTTGCTGTTGTGGACTGATTTGCTCACTTGCTCATCGTGGACTCCGTTGGCAACTTGGCATTGTCATTGGGTTGATGCTCTATGTTCCGTTCGCATTCATCATCTCTTACTTGACATAATTTCCTGATCTCTCCCTCTTAGTTGTTTCTTTGCTTGCTAGCTACCAGCATTTTCTGCTCCGAACTTGAAAACTATTTGGTATTATGTATCTGGGTATCCCCTAAATTATAATATATGGATGATTGAGTATTATGGATTCATTTACTGAAATTAAGCTTATTCAGTTTTTATTTTACTTGTAATCTTTAGTTAGGGATGTTATTCCTTTCTTTGTTACAAGTTTGGACCAAATTAACTAAGCCTTTGCCATTTGTTATTCAGTTTTTAATTAAGCTCATTCATTCAGAGGAAACGAAGCCATTGCCATTTGTTTCGTATACCTTCCCTTCGATCTTCAAACGGAATGGGAATTAGATGTACCTACAAAAGGGTCTAAATCACTTGAGATTGTGGAAGCATCACAATTTTTCTGGTTAAATACATCAAGAGATGCTTTCCCATATTTCCCGCATTCAGTTCTAGCTAGAAGTAATACAATAGAAAGAGATAGAAATGGACTCCTGGACAGAAAAAGAGAAAGAGATTGTTCCCTGAGAGTGCTCTTGCTACGGTTAAGCGATCTACGAATAATTCCTTGACGCTATATATTGCTCAGCTGCAATGGGATTTAGGATACGAGTTTGTTGTGTTTGTGAACTTGTGCTCAACTCCGGAGTTGGTTCATCGTGTTTTTTCTTTCTGGTACTTACAGTCATATAGCACGATTAGCTACAAGTTAGTTAATCACCTACTTATTATTTTTTGCCATCGCAAATCTGCAATTCAAAGACTTTTGCCAAGGAGGGTATCTGCATCTCAAATTAAACAGTTCAAACAAAATCTCAACTTCGACAGGATGACGACGATGCTGTTACAATGTAAATTGCTTTTACTGGTGGGGTTTATCTCATTTAAGTTGTAATGGTACCGCAACTTTAATCCAATTGGAGCGATGCTCCATCAATTAAAAATATGTTACCATTTGTTCCTTAACTCACCAAAACATATAACTATGGTTCTTTTCGTCAACTTCGTCAAAACTTCCGTTAAAATGAGCCATGTCGGAAGAACATTACTAAACTATGTTTCAATTTGGCTAAAGTTGAGGGATCATTTCTCCTGTTAAGGTTAAAGTTGAGAGACCATTGCTATAATTTTCTCATTTAGTTTTTCATATTGCCGTTTAATTTAGCCTTATGTGCGTGTCACCTAACTTATTTTGAGGTAATAATTCTCAACATATGAACATTTAACCTCCAAATTTAAATTTCGATAAATAATGAAAAATAACACAACCAACCCATTCTTGTCAACGACCTTCACCACAACTCCTTTTTATCTTCATCATTGACCAATTAGGTTTTCTAATACGATGGTTTGACATCATGAAAATTTGGAAATGAAAATAAATAGTGGTTGCAGGTAGGAAGAAAAAAAATGGAAGAATTGAATGAGTGAAGTGAATTTTTGTGGATTTTAACAAATACATGTCATTTAGTACTACGGTCCAGTGATTTCTTCCCTCTGACCGTATACAAGGTGTATTTTAGGATGTATTGGTTCTCATACATTATTTACCCTTTGGTTGTATTTGTAGTCACTTTTTACTAAATCTTTGTTTGGTAAATTATTTTATGTACCAAATTAATCTTCAAATTTCAAAGTGAATTTCGATTTTCATGGATTGAATGCATCTAAGTCAGAAGCTGACGTGATAGATATATACAACGCAATAAAATGATAACATTTTGCACGATAAATTATAGGTATTGGTGGTTAACAAATTGGGTTTAAGTTTAGCATTATTTCATACAACGCAAACACAATACATTTATGGTAAATGAACATTAGAGTATGTAATGCATTATAACAGCCACTTAGTACTACAGTCTAATAGTATTCTTTTTTATTTGTAAGTGAAAGATCTTACGTTTGAATTTTAAAAATAGAGAGTTCCCATAGATGAGTTGAGCTCGAAGCCCTAGAAAGATAGTTTTATTTAATTTTTTTTAAAGGGGATTAGTTGGTGGTTTCGTCACAGTAGTCTATTCTTCTGAGATTCGGGAAGACTCACAGAGGTATTTCAGCCTCCCTCTGGAAAGTTAATTGATAGTGTTATTGGGCAGTTTGATCAGGTTCAATCAGTTGGGGATGATTGTCTGACGAATGAATTGGAAACACAACGTTTTCATTTTTTTTTAAATTGTAGAATTAAGTCATATCAGATCACAATTTCTAAATTCGAAAGTTTTAAAATATTTGAATTCAGATAATCTCAGAAATTTTGAAACATGATTTAGAAATTCATTTCTATTACAAGTTTTTTAATATTCTTGAACTTTTTCGTACTTACAAATTTATTGTTATTTCTCAATATTTGGTATACCGTATACGCTTATATATCAATCCAGTTTATTTTGTGATATATGCTTTTTATTTTTAATATATAAGTGTACGATTAACATAAAAACAATAAACAAAGTGCATTCAAAATTAACAATAAAATACAAAACTTGATTGCAAAACATAATTTTGGTAAATAAATATAAAAAACGGGAATATTTTGGAACGTTTCATACTCTTTTTGGATAAATATTCGATTTTTTCTTTTTGTTTGCAGCCTTCCTAAGATGTTATGTATACATGGTTCGGTCAAACAAATGCCTTTTGGTGTAGGATAAAAAGAAAAATGATTGGAGTGACTTGGTGGGAATGGGAAATGGTGAGATGTATGTCCTTTTCTTTTTGGTTGCTGCGTGTGCCATGAGTTATGTATTGAATTGTGACATATAATACGCTCACACATGTGATGTGTACAATTTTTTTTATAAAAGGAACTTCTAACTTAGAAAACAATTAATATTGACCACCCCTAATCCTAATTCTAAACGGATTTGGATCATGTTCGAATTCAAATTGTGAGATCTTAAGAATCTTTACATCCTAATCAATTATCGTATATCGTATGGTTAATTTTTTATTTAATCTTAATGCTAGTACGACTTCAAATCTTTTGCCCCCAAAAATCTTTGTGACTTGTCAACTGTTAACTCTATTTAACTCACTTAAAAACACTAAGAATAAAAAAACAAAAAACAAAATACAAATATGTAATGTGAAGAACCAGGACCATCAGCATGGTGGTAGAGTCCAAATCTTCTGCATCCAAAAACCCATGTGGCCTCTCTGTGCCTTTGATTTTATTGAGCATGTCTTGGGACTCGAGACTTGAAGCTTGATTTGATTGGGTGTGACTGTTGACATGCTCAATAAAATCAAAGGCACAGAGAGGTCACATGAGTTTTTGGGTGCAGAAGATTTGGACTCGTGGGAGTGGAAGTGGGAGTGGGGGTGGGCAGGAACGGTTGGGCTTCTAGGTTTAACTTTTTATTTTTTTTCTTTTTTAATTTTTTTTCAGAGAATTATGGTGTTTAAAAGTAGAGTTAATAACAGGTGTCAAACTCTGAGATAGGTGACAAAAATGCCACATAAAATTTTGAGAACAATACTTGGCTATTAAAAATGAGTACGAACACCTACTCAAAATTTTTAGTGTTTTAATCATAGAGTTGTGTTTATAATCAGAACTGTTCATACTATAAATCACACTGTAAAGATTATATCTGGAAAAAAAAATTAATATTAAGGTCGTTTAGTCAATCTATTATAATAAGTACATAGACGGTTCATAATGTTTTTACCAATACCGTTCATTTATTTTTAAATGGTTTGATGACTAAACAATCTTAGTTTTAATTGATTTTTTGCAGAGACGATCTTTATAGGGTGATTTATAATATGAACGGTTCTTATTATAAACACGAAGTTCTATAAATTGACAACGAATAAGTTTGAAAAATTTTAAGTAAGAGTTTCTACTAATCTTTAAGTAGCCAAGTATTGTCTCAAATTTTGAGTGGAGAAGATTTAAACTTTCCTCATGCATCAATCATAATTTCATACGACTGGTTTTGACAGTATTTGAAAACAAGTTATGTTGTCGGATAAGATAGCTAGCTTGTCCTCGTCTCTTGGGTGGAAAAAAGAAAAGAAAATGTAATTCTTATAATCAAACCCACTCAATCAAGAGTTTTTTTTTTTTTTTAGGGAAACTAATAAAAAAGATTTGATAATTTTGAGTTTTAATTAAAATGATAAAAAGATGTTGTAAGTGAATAGTATCATGAGTGATTTTTTAGCGTAAAAATGTTATTTTCGTTAAAAGTGAACAGTACCGGGAATGTTTCATTACAACTTCATTTTTTTTTTGTTGACCAAACACGCAGAACTGTTAACAATTGTGGTTCAAATACAACAACAATTTAAACAATTTTGGGATTTTTATTCATGAATAATGCTTTCGAGTTTATTAGTTGAACTTTAATATGGTATCAAAACACACAATTCATGTGTTTGAGTCGAAGCGCCTAATATGCACATAATCGAAGGTCGAAGGTCCATTTCGAGAAATCAAACATTTTGCATAAAAACTTAAACGATGTTTAGTTTCTATACTCGCTACCAATTGGTTTTTAAATTGAATTAAAAAATTTAGTTGAATAATATCTTTCTTTTGCATGAATAATGTGGTTTTCTAAAGTAAAACAAGACCCGAAACAAAGCAACCCTTTTCTCATCAAAGCTGCATCTGTTTACAAAAGTTTTGAAAAAAAAAAGAATCTAGTAACTGAAAAAGCAAGAGTTGAAGCTTCAACACAAGCAACAATGGACAAATAGTCCAGCAGTACCAACCAACGCATTAGAATATTGTAGACTTTTTTGTAGTTAAGTCAAATGGCTGACAAACATAGTGATTGCTGACTTCCTTTTGAGAGGAAGGCCATCACCCACCAAACCCTTTGGGGTGATCATGCAACGTCAATTATGTTTAAGGGAACCGATTACCTTTTTCTCATCAAACCTGCATTTTATGCATATTTTAATATAAAAGTTTTGAAAAAAACTGGTAACTGAAAAAAGCGAGACTTGAAGCTTCAACACAAGCAACAATGGACAGAGTCGAGCAGTCCTAACACATCAGAATATTGTAGACTTTTTGTAGTTTGTCAAAAGGCTGACAAACATAGTGATTGCTGACTTCCTTTTGAAAGGAAGGCCATCACCCACCAAACCCGTAATTTGGCCTTTGGGGGTGAGGATGATCATGCAGCGTACGTCAATGGAACATCTACTTGTTTTCTATATTATATACGATACATTTTATTTCTTTTTTTATGAACCATACTATGCAGTATGCACATGGAATAAAATCATTCTATTCTATGTGCATTCTGTTGGATATAAGTCAACAATCTGTGATAATTTATATATGCTAATAAATAATAAATGCAATAGGAATTAACAGAATATAAACTAGAATACGAATTATAAAAACAGACAACTTGAAGATCGAGGTTTGCGTACCGCAATGTCCTTGAAACAGAAATTTCGCCCATACTCAGTGTTTGTAGTTCTACGGACGTCTGCTTCACCAGGATTCAACGATCTAAGTCAGAAATTCCAGCACCGAAAAATTGACTTCTGACGAATTTTAATGTGGTTCTCTCAGAAAGGATGTTTATGATTGCAGGAGAAGATTTATGATTTTTCTGTGTTCTAAATGTCATGCAGATGGATGTATATATAATGTGATTATACCTGTTCGCAACAGGTATGAGGAAGGGATACATCTGTTGGGAGACATTTGCTGAAAAGGGTGTTTTTGTTTCTGCGTTTTCACACTTCAGACTTCATCTGAAAAGATAAGTCTGTTGGTAAAAATAATTAATTAATTAATTTAAATTCGAAATTAAAAATAATTAATTAATTCCGAAAATAAATAATTAATTTAATTATTAGAGCCCAAGAGGCCCAAGGCCCATCTTTTGACAATTAGGGTTTAGGCCTATTACTCCAATCACTTTCTATAAAGGACAAAGTCTTATAAAGTGATAAAATCTTTTGGGAATGGCCAATGTGGGACAAAGAAATTTCTACTCAAACTACTCAAATTTCCAACACATTCATATTCCAAGTTTTTTGTTCAACAATTCATCCGTTCAAATTATGTTTACCATAACTTATTATGCATATAACCACTGATGGTATGGCCTAATGATGTTAATTCTCTCTATTTGTGAGTGAGAGATTTCATATTCAACTTACACAGATAATGAATTTATTACAAGTTCAAGTGTCCAATATATTTATGATAGCGGGTTCTTAGAAATTCTGATAACGAGTTTATAACTCAAGTAGTTAAGAAAAGTTTCTTAGTAGACACTCATATGTCATATGTTTATTAGAGTTTTGAGACTCCATGTCCCACATGTCCCACATCGGGGAACATAGGTTTCCCATGCTGAAATGCTTGCGGCTAGACGTGCAACAGAGCTTCTAGTGGAATTCCAAACTGCTAATTCAAATTGGGTTTTGGAAGGAGACTCGAGTATTGTGATTGCAGCGGTGAGTCGTTCAGAGATTGTTTGTTCATTCTTGGGACCTGTAATATTTTAATATTATGTAATTAAATTTTTCTATGTAGTTTATTCATTTGTTCAATAAGAGAATTATTATTAATATTTCAAAAATCTAATTATATATTCTTCATAAGATTATTTTGCTTTCTAAATATAAAAAGTTTGGAGTGCACAATTAGATTTTTAGAATATTAATAACAATTTGCTTATTATATATGATGTTTTTAAAACTCCATGATATATGTACACGCATACGTTTTACATTTAGTACATGTTGTTTACATATATTTTCAATAATACACAAAATTTAAGTACCAAAGTTTTCAAAAATTCTCTTCGCAAAGTTGCCCAATAATACTACGTACTTTTTGTGGAGCCAAAAATAATCACAATGAGACACATGGATTTTTTATAAAAGAGGACAAAACTATCCTTGGGCCATACCGGGATTCACATGCAAGTAACGTGACTTAAATTGACGGAAAATTGAATATAGTAGCTTCAAATATAACATTAGGGATGTAATTGGCAGATTTTTATAATTCAATGACTAATTTTTCTGAAAAAAAAATAGTTTAGGGACCTAATTTTCACTAAGGTGATAATTCAGGGACTAAATTGGCAATTTACCCGAAATTTTATGGTGGTTCAGAGTACTCGGGGTTTTCTAAACGTTAATTTTTAAATTTTGTATTTTTAAACAAAGATTTGAAGGTTAAAATAACCGGAATGTCTTAAAATGTCTAAAGTATTCTAAAACATTTTGAGTATTTTATACTCTAAAACATCATAAAAAATATTCTGATAAATTACAATACCAAATCGCCTATAAATAACCTCGTTCTCTCATTTTGAACTTAAAAAACCTCAATTTGCAAGTTTCTTACATTAGTTTTAGAAGGGGCCTAATTGATTTTCTTTTAATTAGATAGCTTTTTTATTATGACGAACATGTAATGATCAGTTCACTCATGTTATAACACCGATTTCAAATCCCTTCCAAAAACAGAAGTTGACTGTATATTTTGATACAGGTGGACTTTATCTTGATAAAAGTTGACCTCCGTTCTAACGAGCATTATTCTGAATTTTTTAAGGGAGAGGAATTGAATCAATCAAAGTTGTGGAAGGGTGGATCATTTGAATATGTCACATCCTCCATGGGAATGAGTCCATTAATTGATTAATTCCACTCTAACCTAATCTATCCACTTCCCAACCCAAAAAAACGAAGAAGAAAAGCTAATCCGTCCACTTGCATCATCCAACCACTCTCAGAAAGTTTTCAGTATACCAAAAACACGGTCTAATAAATTAAGTGTCGTAAAATAATTAGTTAAAAGTTTTTATTTTTATATTTTAGTATCAGCCAATTATTTTATAATATTTAATGTGTCGAGCCATGTTCTTGTTGGAGTGTAAAATCTCTCCTACCAATCAGTTACCAATAGCAGCCTAACATTTCGCCAAAAGGTTGGCCAAACAGGAGAAATAATGAACCCAAAAGCACAAGAAAACAATGTATGATTATATTCAAATCCCCAAGTCAGAAAACCTAGCACAATTAAAGCACAAAAACCAGGCCACTCAACTGTGAGTTACACTCCATAGTTTCCATATACAATGTTGTCCGAGTCCTTCAGGTACATGCCGGGGAATTCTATACTCTGAGACTTTTAACCGTTAGATTATTGGTCAACGATATATTAATCAAATATCTAACGTTTAAAAATCGAAGAGTATAGGATGCTCTAGGGAACCATTGAATTTTCGTTGATGGACCTCCTCCAACAGCTCGTCAAGGAATGAAAGTACAATACCAATGTCAGGTAAAATACAAGTCCATGCTAATGATAAGTTGCACATACAAAGTCAATTATCTGTCAGTAAGCTCAAGTAGGTCTAACATTATCCTGAAGTTTGTCATCTACACTTGGTTAGTTGGTTCATGTTCCTAACATTATCCTCAGATAAACATTACATCACAGTAATGTAATGAAGACGAAATGGTGATTGCGAAAGAAAAGAGAATGGCGATCCAACTTAATAGAAATGCGTCATAAACTCACGAATATGAAAATCTAATCTAAGCATTCATCTTTCTGATGATCTCAAGTCAAATGATCCGAAACTCGTGAAGAGTTGAAGATTGAAAGAGCTCATTGCAACAAAGACATTACTATTTTCAACACGGAAGACATCAACTAAGGGAACAACAGCTATCAGATTTGAGGTCGGCAACACAGACACAGAGGGGAAGATACAAGAAGAGAAGCGTTAACGAGCAAACCACTCTACAAAAGCGTCATATTCCAATTCATTTGACGGAAAAAAGATTACACATTACAAGCAGAGCGCATCAACAGTCTGCAACCAGAATACCAGAAATGTAGAATCTTGGCCTAAATAGTCACATAGCAAGCAAGCAAAAGAGAAGACAGAATCCACATCTCAAATAGCAGTAACATGAATGGTATCACAACACTCCCTTCCAGATGCCCTAACACTCGTCAACAAACATTAGTTCATAGGATACGACAGCCGCATTGGTTACACATGTGCATGTGGGCATTTAAGAGAAAGATTATCTATATTGGGCTGAAATCACAAACTCGATTAACCATAAACCAGCAGCCGTAGCAAACAACAATTTCCATTATCCCTAACTGCGAAAACACACAGAAAACCCATCACCATAAACAGACATATGATCCTTATGTTTGTGCATGCAAGCGTGTATCCCAACCTTCGACATTCTAAATGTGTGTTTCATAAAATCCTCTCTCAGCCTTTCCATTAACATCAAGTACAGTATCTATTCTAATCGATTAACGAACACTCAAATGGATTAAAGTAGGAGACTCTTATGTAACTGACAACATGCTCTCTTTATAAATAGCACTAGCAAGGTAAAGTATAATTATGAAAGCTGCCGAAGTTCGCGAGCCTTAGCTTTATAGAGGTGGATAATGTCTTAGTGAAATTTCCCCACACCACACTTTATTAGATAATACAGAAACCAGAACCAGATGGTGTAAAATAGCAATTTTACAATACAAATTGGATTGACATTGTTTCTGAATGGTAGTAATTACAGCTACAGCACACCATTTGCAAACATCATACAACATTTCGGATTTTTTTTCTTTCAATTGGGTCCTTCCAAAATTACATCATCTTAGATTCATACGAGTCAACCTCAAACCTGGACTCGTGTGCTATTCCCATCAATTACAGCATCAATCCGACAGCTTCGCTGTCGCCGGCGACGACAAATGCCTCACACCGAAATCAATCCTTCTTTTTAGCTGAGAGTCCTTCATCGTTTTCAAATCTTGAGTTCTTACAATGTCTTCTTCAAGAAAAATGTATAAACAATTTGAGGAGCAACAGAAAAGATAGTTGGCACAACAGGAAGAATTGGTCAATCTCAAGGAAGAATTGATTGAACACCAATGGGGATTGCAACAAGGTCAAGATAATTAAAAGGAGCTTGTGGTGGAACAATTAAGTTCTTAGTTTATTTAGTGTGTTTTTTTAAGTTTATTTATTGAGTTTATGTAATTTTATTATAATAATGAAACGTGGCGTGACGAGATTAGTTAAAAATCATATTTGAAATTAAAACTATTTTTTATTTATTATTTTATAAAAAATTTAATATTATTTTAAATGAGGTGGGTGACGGCGCATTTTGTAGGAATGGATATCGTTTGTGCCATCGTATTTTTTAAACTTTGTGCCAATGCATTTTTTAAGAATGAATATGCATTTAACCTATTACTATTCATTGGGATATATCACTGTTCATTGAGTGGATTAAATAGACTGAATATTGATGTATTTTTTTAAGGGTGGACTTGCTCTTATCTTGATAAAAGTTGACCACCGTTCCTAACGAGCATTATTCTGAATTTATTTAAGGGAGAGGGAGTTGAATCAATCAAGTTGTGGATGGATGGATCATTTGAATGTGTCACATCCTCCTTGGGAATGAGTCCATTAATTGATTTATTCCACTCTTGGCTAATCCATCCACTTACAATCAAAAAAAGAAGTCCGTCCCCTTGAATGCATCATCTAACCACTCTAAGAAAGTTTTCAATATACCGAAAATACGATTCAATAAATTAAGTGTCATAAAATAATTAATTAAAAATTTGTTATTTTTTAATTTTAGTATTAGTCAATTATTTTATGAAATTTGGTGTGTCGGTGAGAACGGTGCGTCAGGTCGTGTTCTCACCCATCAGTTACCAATAGCAGCCTAATATTTCGTCAACAAGTTGGCCAATCAGGAGAAATAATGAACCCAAAAGCACAAGAAAACAATATATTCAAATCCCCAAGTCAGGAAACCTAGCACAATTAAAGCACAAAAACTAGGCTACTCAAATGTGAGTATTCACTCCATAGTTTCCATGTAGATTGTTGGCCGAGTCCTTCAACGATATATTAATCAAATATCTAACGGTAAAAAACCCAAGAGTATAGGATGCTCCGGGAACCATTGAATTTTCGTTGATGGACCTCCCCCAACAGCTCGTCAAGGAATGAAAGTACAATACCAATGTCAGGTACATAATGAGTTTACTTACTGCTACCATTACAGAAACTGAAATCCAGGCCATCCAAATCTTAAGATACCATATAGAATTGCCAAGCTAACCCCCTATTTCGCGGTAGAGACGTCACGAAACAATTTTTCGACAGAAAATACAAGCCCATGCTAGTGATAAGTTGCACATACAAAGTCAATTATCTGTCAGTAAGCTCAAGTAGGTCTAACATTATCCTTAAGTTTGTCATCTACACTTGGTTAGTTGGTTCATGTTCTTCACATTATCCTCAGATAAACATTACATCACAGTAATGTAATGAAGACGAAATGGTGATTGCGAAAGAAAAGAGAATGGCGATCCAACTTAATAGAAATGCGTCATAAACTCACGAATATGAAAAATCTAAGCATTCATCTTTCGGATGATCTCAAGTCAAATGATCCGAAACTCGTGAAGTTGAAGATTGAAAGAGCTCATTGCAACAAAGACATTACTATTTTCAACACAGAAGACATCAACTAAGGGAACAACAGCTATCAGATTTGAGGTCGGCAACACAGACACAAAGGGGAAGATACAAGGAGAGAAGCATTAATGAGCAAACCACTCTACAAAAGCGTCATATTCCAATTCATTTGATGGAAAAAGATTACACATTACAAGCTGCAACCAGAATACCAGAAATGTAGACTCTTGGCCTAAATAGTCACATAGCAAGCATGCAAAAGAGAAGACAAAGAATCCACATCTCAAATAGCAGTAACATGAATGGTATCACAACACTCCCTTCCATATGCCCTAACACTCGTCAACAAACATTAGTTCATAGGATACGACAGCAGCATTGGTTACACATGTCCATGTGGGCATTTAGAGAAAAATTATCTATATTGGGCTTTAATCGCAAACTCGATTAACCATAAACCAGCAGCCATAGCAAACAACAATTTCCATTATCCCTAACTGCGAAAAAACACAGAAAATCCATCACCATAAACAGACAAATGATCCTTATGTTTGTGCATGCAAGCGTGTATCCCAACCTTCGACGTTCTAAATGTGCGTTTCATAAAATCCTCTCTCGGCCCTTTCATTAACATCAAGTATAGTATCTATTCTAATCGATCAATGAACACTCGAATGGATTAAAGTATGAGACTTTCTTATATAATTGACAACACGCTCTCTTTATAAATAGCACGAGCAAGGTAAAGTATAATGTATGAAAGCTGCCGAAGTTCGCGAGCCTTAGCTTTATAGAGGTGGATAATGTCTTAGTGAAATTTCCCCACACCACACTTTATTAGATAATACAGAAACCAGAACCAGATAGTGTAAAACAGCAATTTTACAATACAAATTCGATTGACATTGTTTCTGGATAGTACTAATTACAGCTACAGCACACCATTTGCAAACATCATACAACATTTCGGATTTTTTTTTTCAATTGGGTCCTTCCAAAATTACAATATCTTAGATTCATACGAGTCAATCTCAAACCTGGACTCGTGTGCTATTCCCATCAATTACAGCATCAATCCGACAGCTTCGCGGCCGCCGGCGACGACAAATGCCTCCAGAGGTAGCGTCCGCTGGCCATGTCCACGACGGTCCAGAACCCGAATTCCACGGCGGTGCGAACCTGCAAAAGCACACAAAAAGAAGCAAAATTTGTTAAAACGGAGAGAAACCCAGAAGAAAAAAGCTGAAATTGGGTAAGAATTGAAGGGGAAGATGGATTGGGAACCTTGGAGAACCGGTCGGGAGATTTGTTGGGGTTTTGGAAATGGTGGGTTTCTTGGTCATCTTGCGGCGGCTCCAATTTGGGGTCGTCGGATTTGAGGTTTCTGAGGACAAAGAAGCCGGCGAGGGTGGCGGAGAGGAATATCAGAACCAGTCGGAGGGGACACATTTCTCCTTCTCAGTCTCATGCACAGAGAGAGAGAGAGAGAGAGAGAGAGAGAGAGGAGAGAGAGGATTAAGAAATGCGTGTTGGTTATGAAAAGGAAGGGAGGGAGTAGGAAAGGAAGGGTGCAGTTGAAGAATGCCAATGGTGAGAGGGCAATGGTCAATTTTATTTTTTTGGGTTATGGAATTTGAGGTCATGAATCATCTCCCTTAAGCTAATTCAAAAAGTTGGGAAGTTGGGAACTTAGGATCCCATTGCGATAATTGCATTTGACCTGACACACATGGGGCCAGATATACATCTCTAATTTGTTTATTTTTAATTGCTTCAAGATGACTTTTGGGATAAAGATTAGTTGGGGAATCTAGGTTGAGTGCTTTTAATCAACTTAGCTAACAAAATATTTTTTTGCTAGAATTGAGTTTTTTGGATGGGATTTTTTTGTATTTAATTTGGTTTTTATAGCTAAAATTGTTTATGAGACTATAAGTTTTCATTTTGGTCATTGACAATAAAAATCGATAAAAATAGTTTCTCATCTTGTCTAAATCATTTTAGTCATTCAGTAAAAATTTCTATCAATATCAAGAGGAAGAGTTTATTTGACAAAATTACTCTTAAAAAGGTAGTCACATGGTCATTCACGTGACAATTTAACGAGGATATTGACAAACTTTTTTACAAAATGATCAAGATAATTTATAATGGACAAACTCAGGAACGGTGAGTTTCATTATCACAAATCAAAATAAAGAGTTATGTCAATCTTAAAACTTATATAGGATAAAAAAAAAAGGACTGCATAATGATTTAACATTTGCAATTACAACTCCCAACTCTTGGTACATTATCCAATAAAGTCCACCATGTTGCATTTGTACTGGTTTCCCACTATCCTTTTTAAATGATCAAACGATAGTGCAGCCGCCCGATAGCGCAGCCGTTGATAATGACAATGGAACTCACGACCATCAATGGCTGCACTGTCATCGTGGCCGGCGACTGACGATGGTATGTCAAAGGCATCACTTGAGAACGCGTGATCCATGGCTGCATTTTACACCAATCAGCCCAAAAAGCCTTTTGAAACTATGTTAAAAATGTCTACGATCAAATGGTCCTATAACTCTGTAGATCCTTCAATTTAAAACTTGAAATAAATAAACTAGAATCTACAAAACGGAGGTGGATTGTCTGCCTCCCATTTCCATACTCTTCTCATCCCCTCCTGTTTGTATGGTCACGGTTAAGCCACGTCAACATTTTATATTGATTTTTTTATAAAAATAATAAAACAAAAAGTAATAAGAATATACAATGTTGACGTAGCTTAACCGTGATCACACAAAACAGGAGGGGATAGGAAGAGTATGGAAATGGGAGGGCAGACAATCCACCTTCCTACAAAACTAGTTCTCATTTAACTGCTCAATCTGTGGAGGCGAACAATCTGCGTTGAACGCATCCGGCATCTCCATGAGTTGGGGACTTTCAGCTTCCAAGCCAAAACAATTGTACAAGCAGCCCGCCACGGCCAAGAAGTACATAACCACCTAACATGGATAAATTAGCATTATGAAGAACGAACTTGAATCCGCCCTGGATGAAGAGCTAATGGTATGGCATAACAAAATGTTCTAGAAGCAAAATTTACCTGACGCTACGTATTAGACTTTGGCAACACGAGCAATCTTTGCTAGCACTGTTCTTAAACTTCGAATACCAGCTCCAGATTTCGAGCTCACCATCACCTGAAATAAGAACCAAATCCGGAGTGATTACATCATTTTATGCATTGATACACATAAATAGTCTGCTTGTGCTTATCAACTGAACAAAGAAAAGCATACCGCAGGTTGGACCAAAGACTTATTTGCTTTCAGACTCTGCAAGATCATATATGTTGTATTGAAAATGTTAGTCTTACGGAAGAAAATCTACTTATATGCAATATATTGTCAGCATAAATAAGCCACACTCACCTCTTCAATTTGCATTGCACGACGTGCCACATCAATTGGGAAAACTGTATCCGTCTTCGTCAATAAAATCTGATATTTAGTTTCAGCCCTGTAAATCAAGTACTAAACATTATAAAACTTGAGTGCGAGCCACACGGTTCCAGAATGCACATGTAAAAATATTTCTGTGTGTATTTGCATATATGTACGAGTACCAAACTTGCAGATAATAAAGGTGTGATTTCTTCCACCACATAAAATCAGTGTAACAGATGCGGCAATCCCAACAGTCATTAAAATTGTAGTTTATAGAAGTGTCTACTGGTACCTTTCCATCAAGTCAATGAGTTCATGATCCCTTGGCTTCATTCCCCATTTTGTGTCAATAAGTAAACACACTCGTTTTAGACCAACTCTTGTGGATACATACTCTTTCACCTGCAAATCTCAAAGCGTCCAAGAAAACAATTATATTGGCACATATAAGAGTTAGACTGATTCCACTTAGAAAAGAAGAGAACTTAAAGTTGTCACTCACAAGCTCCACCCAAGCATCCTTAACTTCTTCTTTAGCATAAGCAAAGCCGTACCCTGGCAAATCAACCAAGCAGAGCTTTGATCCTAGATTGAAGAAATTAATAGTCTGCAGAAGAAGCACATATGTCATCAACAAACTGAACAGCTAACGAAATCATAGCAACAAAAGCCTAAATTGTAACCTGAGTAAGACCAGGCTTGTCTGACGTTCGTACAACACCCCATTGTCTAGTAAGTGCATTAAGTAGTGAGGATTTCCCGACATTTGACCTCCCTGAAAAAACAAATAGAAGCCAACAAAATCACTCATTGTCTCTTACCACAATAAAGTTTTGATCAAACCACTGAACATACTTAATATTATGAACTCATAAATCAGATCACAATTAAACTACTAAGAAAGGGATACAAAAGTAGAGCTAATTGGATTGCATCGAGGGAATCAAAACACACCTGCAAATGCAATCTCTGGAAGATCAGGAGGTGGAAATGATGATGAAACTTTTGCAGCGGCAAAAAATGTCAATTTATTTCTAAATATCTGTAAAAGTAGTAAAGGTTCATATTAATGCGATTCCATAAAACAGTAAATAGAGGGTCACCCTAATACTACATAGATTTAAGCTTGTTCTGAAAAATATATTAAAATTGAAATGTATAAACATACATTTTCCTCAATATTCTCTCTTTCTGAGCTGGTAGAGGAAGGAATATTATCCAATGGGGCAGAAAGCTCAGTGTTGTAGCCTGCCCTCCTCAACTCTATCAAGCGTCTACGACCTAACAACTTTAAATAATAATTTTAAAAAAAAAAACTAGAGTTATATTTCAAGAACTGAACGGTAAGAATATAGAGAGAGCCTTCACACTTAGAGACATATAATCGAAAAGCATATATCCCAAACATCAAAAGACCTGTGCATACAAATTACATTATCTTCCACATAAGAGAGGATTGAGGAACTAGGTTGTATTGCACGAAACTGTGCATTTTTTGAGATTTCAGCTTTTTCCTCCTCATCTTTTTCCTTCTCCTTTTTGCTTTCTGGGGAACACGAAAAGTACAAGGTGTCAAGAAAATGAAAAACTCTACACTTAGTTAAAAATTTAAACACATAAAATACTAGTAGTAGTGATACAAATTCAAATTATATAAAAAAGAACAAAAAAATGGAAGTAATTGATAAACTGACCGTTTATGACAATAGTATCATCAAATCTTTTATTTGAGATATCATTAGGATCTAATCGAATTCGCTTCCTCTTCTTTGGCTGATCATCTATCACCCGTGATTCTTCATTCAAGATTTTCTTATCCGGCTTAACTTTGTTATGTTTCTTCAGTGCACTAGCCTGACCACCATCGGTATTAACAGATTCCATCTTATCGCCCTCCTTATATTTGGTTTTACTGGAAACTTTTGCACCTCTATCCTTAGAAGAAAAACGTTTATTTTCAGAAGTAGCATTCTCTAATCCATTAGAAACCCAGATAGAGCGAGGATGCCCAGGAGATTCACTTGCGTTCTTTTCATTTCCAAAACCATCCTTACTTTTGGTTTTATTGGAGACTTTGGGACTCCTAGGAGAAAAACGTTTAGTTTCAGAATCAGCATTCTCTAATCTATTAGAACCCCACCTAGAGCGAGGACGCAAAGGAGCTCTAGTATCGTTCCTTTCACCATCAAAACCATCCCTTACTTGGTTCGGTCCTTTCCTAGAAAAAGCCTTCCGATAAGATGCCTCTCCATTTCTAGAAGACATTGAATCCCGATCTGTGTCTTGGTCACCATAGATTCTCTTTCTTCTCCTATCACCATTCATGGTTTTAAAATCGTCCCTTTTATCAAGATCTCCACGACTCCCTTCCTCAGAATTATGAAACTTTATCCCCTTCTTATTAAAGCTCCCCTTCCTATTATCATCATCCTTTTTTCCATCACTGTGAAACTTGGGCCTTCCAATAGATGCTTTGAGTTTCTTATTGAGCTTAAACCTTAATTTAGCCTCTGCAGACATGCTGTAACCACTAGCACTCGATTAAATACCCCGAATTCTCAAAAATCGAACCCACCAAGCAAAAAATTAAAATACTCAGAAGCCAAAACCAATCCCAAGATTACAAGGCAAACCTCCTATTTAGCACACACTTCAGAGCACCGCCTGAATATACTGAAATTCAAGCAGACGTATGAATCCGACCTATAAAACATACGCGAAATAAACAATAAATCCCATTTCCAGTAGCATTTTAAGCCAGAAATTACACTCGATAGATAAATTCCAGCAGAAATTTTCACAATTTAATTGCACAAAGTATCACCTACAAAGAGAAATAAAAGCCATTTGCAATAAATAAATAAAAATACAGAGGCTATGTTTGTTTCCATGTATTTGGCATTCGAATAGGGAGATTCCCACGCCGAATCCATCGTTTGGACACCGTGACTTGGATTGTAATCCAATACCAAATGTGCCCACTTGCCCGATTTGGATAAAGCAAGGAACTTGAAATGTGAAATTTCATTTGGGACTCACCAGACTCCTCCTTTCGACCAAGCCTGAAGCCTCTCAAAGGCGCTGTGATCGCTGCAAAGACCTAATTGGGGACTTGGGATTTGGAGCAGTGCTTCAGCAATCAGCGACGGTTCTCTCTGTTAGAGAAACGAGTGTTTGGCATGGACGCTTAAACCCTAAACCCTGATTGAGAAGTAAGAAGTGTGAGTAACGACTGCTCACATCAGTGTTTACGGCCCGTTGGATTTACAAATTGGGCCATTTAAGAATGAAATTGTCATACGCATTACAACTCTAAAGAACAAGTAGCCTAAAATGTGGAGTCGTGCTTGTTTAATTAGACGGTCTAATTAAATAAGCACGACTTCCTGTTCTCGTACAAATCAAAAGAAAATAAGATTTGATAAAAGTAAGACGAGGACAAATATAAGTTTTACCATGTTATGTAATTGTTCTTTTCCCATATGCCCCTACAGCTAAGGAGAAATTATTGGTTTGGCACTCCGTACCACGTCAACCTTACGACACTTCTCACAAGACGATTAGACTTTCTGAATTTAATTTATGCAGTAATAGGATATCATTGCATTGCATATTGCATGAACGAGGTTGCTAAGAGTACGAAATTCTCCCCATCACAAGCAGTGGCGGAGTCTGAATTTTAACCGTAAAGAGGCTCAAAAGTCTAAATTGGAAACGCACTCCTAATCTTGCAAAAAATTACTCTGACATGTGGTGAGCAACAGACCGCTGTCATTTGTATTGTGTCATTCTCATCATTCTCTTAGTTAAACCTAAACCCTAAGCATCTCTGACTTTCTTCATCTCTCCCTCTTCTTCAAACTCACAAGCAACGAATTACCTAAACTCCATAGGAGCCACCAACCTCAAATCAGTAAAAACATCGGATTAGGGCCCTGAGTCTATGAAAAAACCTTGAAAATCATAAGTGTTACACTAAACTTTTATGCGTAAAAATTATCAGAATAAACCTCGGACAATCCTTGCTCCTTCGTGACTCCGCCTTTGATCACAAGTTTGATAAACTCATGTGGTACGCTTGATAATCTCATTACTGATTTTAACAAACGTGAAAAATGGGAACCACATAATCATTCAATTCACGAGCCAATGACCCCCAAAAAAAAATACATATTTTGTATGGTTGAGAATACGAATTAGGTTGGAATTAGGTGGTCCTCAATCTGGACAGATCTATACGTTTCTCCTTGATAGGCGACTAGAGGTTTCATTTGCTTGTGATTTCTTGAGCTCTAATTAGACAACCACAACTCCATATTCACATGGACAAGATAAAAGTAAGACAACGATAGTACTGTACTATGCATATGTTCTTTTGCTAAGAAATTCTTGGTTTGGCATTTCAAACCACGTCAATCGTCCGACATCTCTTAGTAAAAGACTTGACTCACTCTATTTGGTCTCAATTAAGTGCGGTACCCTATATACATGTCCTCACAAAAATTTCTTTTGATTAAGCTTCATTCTCTCGTCATAGAATCTAGAGCAAGCTTCCTCCCAACTCCATTCTCCCAATTACTCTCTACTCTTTACTTGAATTGAGAGAAATGATAAGTGGATTCTATGCACTCACTCTATCATCTCATGTTTTTTGCCTAATATTTTATAATGTTAAAGTAGAAATTAACGTTAAAATATAAGATGTCAGAAAGTCTCATTTTTTGAAAAAGATTGCTTTGCCAATTCTCCTTGAACTTATTTGCTTCATTATTGGTGCCCATAATTTGTTTATGTCCCTTCTTGTATCATTGCGTATAATTGCTCTCTGACCTAATCACTTTCTTGATGAATTATTGAAGCAATTAACACAAAACAATGCATCAAAACGTCACTCCAACAAATAAAATAAATAAATAAATGATGCAGAGCACTATGTCACATGAAATCGGCTCCTAAAATCTTGCAAATTGGCAAATATTCCAAGTTTCCCGCCAGTCTGGACCAAATAATTGGTCCGGTCCGGCTACTGCATGTGATTTTTTTAATCATTTTGCCCACAATTTACAGCTAGGCTACCAATTTAAATCAATTTAAAACTAGGTAGGCCATTCCAATATGTGAACATCACGTTAACAAATTTGAGCCGGGATTCCCATTTTTTCGATATCGTGTTTATTTATTCGGAATGGACGAAGTCATGAATCGAGAAAGAAAATGAAAACGTATGTAATCAACCTGCCCTAACCAACCAAACTCCTTAATTGACACTTTTTAATTACGAGTTTTCCGGTGTTCGATCTCAGTTTTTGTTGCGAAACACTTTTAGTTTCGTATACGAAGTTAGAAATCGAAACTTCTTGACCCTGTTCTAAATAAATAAACATGTCATTAGACTAACGGCGAAGAAATTAATACGAACAGGCAAATACAAACACAGAAATTGAAATAATAAAAAGAATGAATTAATACAATTATACAAGATGCACTGCAAAAAGAGTCGGGAGTTTTGATTCGATTAAATCCAACCCTTCATCCTCTGTTGATGAGGCCTATCAAAGGCTACATATTATCACCTATACATAAACATATATCTCCTCTCACTAATCCCAGTATTAACCCCATATTACAAGAACGGCTGGTAATCTTTTCTTTTTATTTATTTCCCAGTACAAACACAACAAAACCATCACCAATTTTTTTTTTTCATTTTTTATTAATTAATTGCTTGATTAATTTTAATTGCCACTCCAGAAAACGACCTGTCGTACGACACCCACGATCAGCATTCGTTGACTGGGCAAGCGAGCGAGGAGGAAGAAGACATGGACGATGAGATGCTTTGATCATTTGGGCAAATCAGATAAGGCCTGAGCTTGTTCTTCCACATCTCCTTGAACGGCGCGGCGTCTCCGCCCGTCCTCTTGGCCTCCACCACCACCAGATTATCAGTCAATCTGTAAACCTCCACAGCGATTGATAAATTTCCATTCTGCCCTTCCATCTCCAGTCCCCAATCCTTCTTCCTCCTCACCCTCAACTTCTCCGCCTTGGCAAACTCAGCCACTCTCTCCATCACCTTCTCCACCGTCTCCTCCGATATAAAGCGCTCGCCGTCCTCCGCAGGGCTGCCGCTCGACGACTCGAACAACCCGGACAGGTCCAACCCGGCCGAGAACGAAATCAAATCGAACGCGTTCAGGCTCGTCACGCCCTTCTGTTCCTCCTCGCCGCCGCCGATTTTGGCGTCGTCCATCGAACAATCGTCGTCGTAGAATTTGATTTCCTTGCACCCGCCTTTTCTGAACCACGGGTCCTTCAAAATCTCGTCGATCGTAATCCGGGTCGCCGGGTTGGTATCCATGAGCCGACCCAAAAACCGCTTCAGATCCGGCGACATCCATTTCGGGCACCGGAACTCGCCCTTGTAAATCTTCTTATACATCGCCATCAAATTGGGGTCGTTGAACGGCAAATACCCGGCGTTCAAAACGTACAGTATCACGCCGCACGACCACACATCCACCTTCGCGCCGTCGTATCCCTTCTTCGTCAAAATCTCCGGCGCCACGTAAGCAGGGGTCCCGCAAAGCGTGTGGAGGAGCCCGTCGGGTCGGATCTGGTCGGCCACGGCGCTGAGCCCGAAATCCGAAACCTTCAAATTCCCGCTCTCGTCAATTAACAAATTCTCGGGTTTCAAATCGCGGTGGTAGATCCCGCGGGAGTGGCAGTACCCGACGGCGGAGATGAGCTGCTGGAAGTACTTCCGGCTGAGATTCTCTGAGAACCGCCCCTTCGACACCTTGGCGAAAAGCTCTCCACCCTTGACGAACTCCACGACGAAGTAGATCTTGGTCTTGGAGGCGAGGACCTCGTAGAGCTTGACGATGTTGGGGTGGCGGAGGCGGCGCATGATGGTGATCTCGCGCTTGATGTTGGACATGAGGTTGGTGCCGGTGAGCTTCTTCTTGTTGATGATTTTCACGGCGACACTCTGGCCAGTGAGGACGTTGCGGGCGTGGTAGACTTTGGCGAAGGCGCCGCACCCGAGGAGCTTGCCGAGCTCGTACTTCCCGAACAGGGCATTGTCGGGGATACGCTGCTGCTGCGGCGGCGCAGGCGCCAGCAGCGGCTGTCGTTCTTCGCTCCCCGGCATCATGGGATGCCGAGATGAGATCGAACCGGGGGTAATCGCGTCGGTCAGGGCTGTGGGTTTTGATAGCTTGGAAGAGAGAGAAATTGGGGATTTTAATTTTTGTCAGGAGGAGGAATGTTGGGAGTTTTAATTGGGACGAGGAGGAGTAGGAGGAGAGAAAAATATGGAGAGACTTTCGGTGGAAGCATTTTAAGGGGGATATTTTTCTATACGCGGGAGAGTAATTTTATGGTTTTTTGGTTAAATCGGCAGATTGTCATTATTATTTACCGTGATCTCATAAATTTAAAATCTATAGAAATTGCTTCCGTAATTAATTCGATAACATTTTGGTTCTTCTGGAAAATTCTCTTTTAGTTTGAAAAAACCACGCATTTAACGTTTGGGTAATGATAGGAAGATTAAATTTGGAAACAAAATTTACAAAGTAAATAACGTGTCATTAATTAATAAAAATGATCATGTTTATCAACGTTTAAGTAATAATCAAATGCCACTTATTGCTATGGTTTTATGGTATTTCTCTTCATAAGTGAGAGATCTTAAATTCGATTCTCTCCAAATACGAGTTTGAATCACATTATTACTAACTTATTGTGAGGTTAAGCTCATTTCATTCCCTTTAGTATAAATAATATTATTTGTTAAAAAAATAATAATCTAATCATCTACTTTCATATGATTTAGTTTACAAATTTTTATCTATACATTTAATCTCTCTAGTATTACATTTAATGTTTAAAGATGACACTTTCTGTTGAATTTAAATCTTATGAATTAAAAAAAGAAATTGTGTCAATCTTAAAAATTATTTTAAATAAAAAACCTGATTTTATTTTTTATACCAAACAATAATTTTGTTCTGTTTTTATTTATTCGGAGTTTGCTGCGAGACCAAAATTAAAAAATAGCAAAAGGCAGTTTTTTGTTTGAATTTGTTTTATTTTATTAAGAAAAACAAAATAATATTTTTTTAATAAGTGGTGGGCATGACTCGTCTGGAAACGTGATTGCCGTACACGTGTTGTAGGTTTTGTGAATAGCGTGACGGAGGAGAGAGACGGAGGTTGGGGGGCCAACACGGCTGTTCTGTAGAATACTGACACGTCGTGCCGTCCGCGTTTGCACGTTAACTCCGATGTGCACGTGAAAAAAAAAAAGTGTCCTCGGTAAGAACGGTTGCTTGGCTACCTCTCTACCCCCAAAAAAATAGAATATTTACACACGTGTGGAACTGTAATTCAAAGGTAAATTATCCAATTGACGCTTTTGAGAAGTATATTTTTTTGGGCTTATAAACACGTTTTGCATTTTATTTTAGGGTTTTAAAATTTCAACCCTTTAGTTTTACACGTGAAGTGAATTTGACCTTGTACTTCTAATTGTATTCAAAACCTATTGTTTGCTTAATTTGTAAGAAAAAATAATGAAAATGATTTGAAAACTTTGAGTTTTAACGATAAGGACAAAATAAAGAGTAAATTGAATAGTACCATAATTGACTTTTTAATGTAAAAATATGATTTTTCGTTAAAAGAAAAACACAAAATGATAGTTAAGTACCAAATAATTTTAACAATTTTATTTTCATTCCTTAATTTTTATTTGAGTGCGTGGCAACAAAGGTTTATGAACTCTACTTCATATTTAGTTTTTGTCCCTAAACTCTCATATTAATTTTTCCCGTCCTTTAACTTAACTTTATGTTGCATGAATGGTTATTCCGTCAAATTTAAGAGTGGAGTGGTCTTTTTATACATAAAAAATCTAATTTATTTTAAAAAGCGAAAAGCTTGTGCTTATGATCAAGACCATTTATGTTACAAATCACTATGTAAGATCATCTCTACAAAAATCAATTAAAACTTAGATCTTTTAATCAATTATTAAGGAATTCCGATCATAAGCCCCAAGTTATGTAGAAAAGTAACGAGGTATTTTATAGAGGAGTTCTTCCTCAATCTTTGAGGAGCCAAGTCTTTCTCTTTAAAAAATTGTTTTTTATTTTTATACCATGGATAAAATTTCTACTTTATCCATCAACTTAACGGAAAAGTTGACAAAGTTAATGAAAAAGGCTACTAGTACAACACATGACATAATTCAAGGGCAGAAAACAAAAACTAAACTCGTGGTATAAATAACATTTGCTACGGTTTAGCCTTTTTATTTCTTCCTTCTCTTCATCACCCTTTTTCATCCACCTTTCTTCTTAAGACATAAATAGTTGATTAAAAACTGAAAACCATTAAAATTTTAGTCGAATATGCTTTTAAAAATATCCAAAATTTTCAACCATACATTTATGGGTTCAAAATTAATAATGAAAATTGCGAAAATTTTCGAATACGTTTTTTAAAATATCCAAAATTTTCAAACCATACATTTATTTATGGGGTTTAAAATTAATGATGAAAATTGCGAAAATTTAAACGGTCAAATATTGAATTATATAATGTTAGAGTGGAGCCCACTAGAATATTTCTGGACCATGTAGGCAGACTTTAAGGACAATCTTATCCGGTATGTGGTAGAATTTCTACTGTGGAAAGCATGAGAACCTTCACGGATGAAGGTTTAGGTGTAGGCCGTCTGGGTAGCATGTTTCGCACAGTACATGACCATTTGAAATGACGCAACATATTTTGAATGTCGATCGGTAAAGGACAACAATATGTGTCCCCCTTCGTGGCATGATGCATTAATATCCGTGATACAATCTAGGATGGTCATGGCGGACGGATGTCTTTACTCATTTATTTTTTAGGAAAATTAATGAAAAGGGCTTGAAAACTTTGAATTTTAATGATAAGGACAAAATAAAATGTAAAATAAATAGTATCATGATTGACTTTTTAGTATAAAAATGTAGTTTTTCGTTAAAGTGAACAGTACCTGATGCTTTTCGTTAAAATTCCCTTATTTTTTACCTCTAGCTAACGGTAACATTAAAAGAATGGTTCCAATCATGAAATTTTAACAGAATCAATTAAAAAATCGAATGAAAAATCAATGAATGAATTATAAAGTGGTTATTTGATAGAAAGAGATATTTTACGGTATTTGTTTACTTTGAAGTCTTTGCTCAGCCCCTACATCTCTACCTTGCCTAGGAAATTATCCAATGAATCAGACGTACCTGGATGCAATTAGATGTAGGAGAGAAGTTAGTTTAGGAGCCACCGCATACGTTTAGGTAGGCAACGCCTCAAGAAAGACATAAACATAAAAAAGAGGAATTAAAGCATATGTTGGATCGCACAAGGGAAGACTCAGGGGTAGAGCCCTAGATTGAGTTGCTCTTACATACGGATCAGGATCCTCTCCTGAGCAAATGGAGAGGATCCTCCTGACCATGTCCATCAGACCGTTCAATTTTATTCAACGACTACAATTATTATAACTTTTAGAGGGGTCCTCTGTTTGTAACCGTTGGATAAAATTTAAACGGTCTGATGGGCCTAATCAGGTGGATCCTCTCCATTTGCTTATGAGAGGATCCTGATCCCTTACATACCTCGGGGTTGAATAATCTATCAAATGATGATTAAGTGTGGAGAATATTGGTAATGAAGTTGTTACGCAACGCTTTCAAAACATGAAAACGCTTCGAATGATAGTGGATGTGTTGTATGAAAAATCTTATGGATTAATATGTAACTATTTTGTTTAGTGAATTCTTAAGTTTTTTTAATTTGTTACTTTGTTGTTTTGAGAATGCCTCATGTATACAGATCTCTGACTTCGTTTATGAATACAATGCATGTGTCATAAATAGAAGTCGTTGAGAAAAATACTTTACTTATAATTATCAATTCATTCCAAATCAATCAATCAATACAAATCCTTAAAATTCCAATAAACCCCAAGAGTAGGAAAATATTGATACAATTAGGATTTTGTGATACAACCAAATGTGATGTAGGATGCCTATTCGAACCTGAACACCGAAGAAGTTTTGAATTAAGAGATATGAAATCCGGATGGAAAGGTATTTGAGTGTTTAATAAATCTTCAGCTTGTTTGAAAATTAGTGTGCTTAACGTTTTTTAAGGAAAACAAGACACAAACAACGTAGTCTTCATTTGTGTCAATTTAAAAATAATAATTATATGTCTCCTTATATTATTTGTCTTAACTAGCATAAGGGTCAAACAAAATTTCAAAGAATAAATTTTACATGTTATTGGAGCCGCAGGCCATGCCCCACGATGGCTTCGCCACTGCCTCTATCATTAAGGTGTTCACACTTTTTTTTTTCTGGCTATATTTTTACCAAGTAGATGATCATGACATGTCACCCACTTTGGTTGCTTAACTTCGATTCGTACTTCAAATACAAGCTTAGCCAACAATTCACTGTTATATTATATTGAATATATTATTAAGTTGCTAACACTCTAAAAACTCATTTTGCACTTTTTAAAAGCATAATTTTTTTTTAAATATAGAAATTTTAAAGGATCAATAACAATTTTTGTATATTATGTTATATTCCAATGTCAATAACGAGTTGCCACGATTAGAAACAAAACTTTCTTCACGTTAAAGGCAACAACGATAGGTTTTTTCCATTTTTAAAATTTTTTAACAATCGATATTATCTACACTAAAAAATAAGAGGATGAGTTTAGCCTCACAATAGACTAGCAACAATATGGTTTAATTCACCTTTGGCGCATAATATCTCTCACATAAAGAAGAATATCACTAGACCGTATTTTTAAGTGATAACAACAATAAGGTTTACTAAGTTAATAAATAATTGATTTAAATATTGATTTAAATATAATACGACTATTTAGCAGAAATATTGAATGGTCAATTAATTGGGACCAACAGAAATGTTGAACGGTTAATGCATGGCTGCCATTGATCTGGCAAGAACCAAACCAACGACTGATCAGGAAGCAAACTTAGCTTATAATCCAAAGCGACGAGAGCCAGTTGGTAATAGTCTGACAGAGATTAGAGAGTGTGGCATAGCCACTACAATCCCT